AGATATTATTTTCACATTCCTCTTATATTTGTTTAATTATCTCTCCCAACCCTTGTTCACGTTTATTAGCTAATTACTCTATCAGTGAAAAATGTGTAACAATATAAAATTCCAATATAATTAGTGTGTTTTTGGAAAATTCTATAGTAATAAAGATTAATGTTAAAGTTGGCTTTAAGATTAGGGTTAGGGTTAGAGACAGAGAACAAGATAATTGTCTTCCCGACATTTTTTATTAGCATTCCAGACCAGATTTAGATATTTGTTTCTTGTATTTTTTACATTTCTCGCATTTTTCATTTTTTTGTTGTGACGGGTTGATCAAAAATTTATTGGCTGTTATTTGATCTAACCAAAACGGATTGGAGTGAACATAGATGCACTCCCCACTTGGTGGAAAAACATTACTCCAAGTTTATGTCGATCATTTTTCATTTTTCTTTTTTCGGTATATCATAAATTTATGACGTAACGGTAAAAATGTCTCCCACATCGTTTTATATTTATGCCAAACCGTTCAATTCGAATTATGTATTACGCTATATATGTAATATAAGATGGTAAATTTGGTGATACTAATATATATAAAGTGACGTTAAACTTACTTTGAATCCGACTGTTCATCCATAAACTTCTGGAAGTCGCAACCACCATATAATAAATACATAATTGCATGTAGAGGAACGTCTTTATCATAAAAATACAAAAAAATTAACTTCACGAAAGCTATAACACTATACTTTTTCCCTTGTCCCATAATTTGTTTTCAAAAACAAATACACACACTCTCTCCCACACAAATCGTAAACCAATTCGCCTCCTCTAAAAATGCCTCCTCTCGCAACAGCACAAACGATTCAAGATCATCCTTATCATAAAACTACTTCAAATGATGAACAGTCGATGTGTAACAGCCACAATCTCAACAGCAGTTCTGAGCCGAAAACTCTATACGCGACAGTAAAATTTTCGGATGATCTAACCATTGATATCCTGGTGCCAACACTCAAAGAACTCTTGGAAATAAAAACAGAAAACAGCTCTCTGCAGAAATCTTTGGTTAACGATCAAATCGATGAAAGCGCATTTGGGTTATTTCGACTTGCATTTGAGAACGAAGTTTATAAGAAAAGAATTCCTACAAAATTATGGGGAAAATTCGCAGCGGTCGGAAAGGAAGCTTGGGGAAATGCAAATGGGATATATCGGGATGCTTTTGTTAAACTCGTTGAGTTAATTTTTCATGATGAATAGCGTTTTGTTTAAAAGAATAGACAACGCATTTTTCTACTTCACCTTATTAGAATTAGATTTCAAGAATTTTTCTTTATTCTCATATGCGAACGAGGTGAGCATTAAGAAAAATTTTATTAAGAAATATAGATTTATATACATGTATATACGTAGTTTTATAGTTTATTTACAACACTGCTAAACCGGTATTTCCTTAACAGATTTATCAATTAAGTTCATTTTAAGAATAATTTTAATAAAGATATCAATACGCGCGTTGTATTGTCTTAAGTATGGTTACACTTATATGTTTCCTAGTAAAGTATCAAAAAATGAAATTTTCATTCTTATTACAACATTTTAAGTTTTTCCTTTGTTCATTTAATTATCTTTGTTCATTTAATTATCTTTGTTCATTTAATTATCTTTGTTCATTTAATTATCTTTGTTATCGTTATAATTGCTCAAAAATAGTCCGCTTTTAATTTAGATTACATGTACATGTAGTTTAAAGATCTATGGTGCATAAAATCTAAAGTCATCAAACGTTTGTATTTTGCAAAATGTATAAACTTCTTTACTAAGAAGTAATACAAAATTTAATCCGTGAATATGATAGAATAGGCCTTTTCTGAGCATATTCACGGATTAAATTTTGTATTTACTTCTTAGTAAAGAAGTTTATACATTTTGCAAAATACAAACGTTTGATGACTTTAGATTTTATGCACTATATATTTTTTTGCAAATTAAAGATCTTAATTAAAGATTATATCTCAACTAGTTGTAACTTGCAGCAATTAATTAGAAAATTATAATAGAGTTGCAATAGTCAATCAGAAAATTATAATATAGTTATAGCTAATTACAATTCTCATTATTAATCTTAGCAAGTAATTAGAACTTGATATTTGTTGATATTTGTTTTACTAATTCAAATATTCAAATATAATAACAAATTTATTATAATAATTTACTTGAATTTTTGAATTTGAACAAATTTTAAACAAGAATAATATAATTTAATTATTTAAATTTTATTAAAATTATCACAAAATTTAGCAAAATTTGAATATTTTAAATATATGATTATTTGCAATCTCACTAAATTATTATTATTTATATGACTATTATTAACAAAAATTATTAATTTTTATTTTATAATCTATAGTATATTTTATTTCTATTATAAATATAAATTATAATTTTATTTTTAATATTTTAAGATAAATATTAAATATCTTGGAGTTTATTTTTAAAAATAATATATTATATATTATATTTAAATCTAATTAATTATATTTTTTATTAAAATATTACTTGAATCAAAAAATAACTATTTAAATAGTATTAAAATAATTGAAATTAAAAAAGTTTTCATATTAAAGTTGCTAACTTTAAATAATTTAATTAATTTATATATTAAGCTAAACTTTTATTAATATATTTTTCAATAAGTAAATATAAAATTTTGATTTATTAATTAATTTATAAAAGATTAACTAAAATAAATAATAATTTTATATAATTTAAACAAAAAATACCAAAATTTTTCTGTAAGAATACTTTTTTACATGAAAAGTAATAAGATAAATTTATTAATTGCTATAAATAAATTATATTAATTGAAATAATTTTCAGTTTTAATTTTATTAAAGCTTATTTCTTTATTTATTAAATAATAAAAAAATCTAAAGAGCTATAGTACAGAACAGAAATATTTAAATACATAATTAAAATTACAAATAAATTAATAATGAAATAGAAAACAATTGATTTTAAATTATTAATCTTAAAGATGATGCATCTTCAAGTTATGCTATACTTAATGAAATATATATAAAATATAAATAATAATAAAAAATAATTAACAAAAATTAAAAATAATAAAAGAAAAAAAAGAATTAATAAAAATAAAAGTAATTAAAAATAATAATATCTAAATTAATAATATGATCTATATTTTATATCTAATCTATTTAGTACAATATTAAGAAGTATTAAATATAGATCTGTATTAATTTCTAACATATTATGCAAAAATTGATAAATATAATATGAAAAATGATAGACATAATACAAGAAATTACAAAAGTATATGAAATTTGTTACAATTATCCCTCTCTTAAAAGTCAATATTCATATTGAATTAAGAATACGCTTTTTCAAAAGCTTGAACTTTTTCTATTGCATTTTTGAGATTGTTCAAAGGATATTCAGCTCATTTTACAAGATATTGTAATTATTTTCTTATTATGTGCTTGTTCAAAATATTTTCAACTTCATATTCTTCTTCATTATCTGATATAATAATAGCAGATGATAATGTTGATCTATTAAATTTATTATCTTCATTATATAGCTTTAGTAATGAAATATGAAAAACTAGATGCATTTTCATATTGTTTGGAAGTTCTAATTTATATGCAACTGGTAAAATTTTGTTGATTATATTGAATGATCCAATATATTTAGCATATAACTTTCTTATTGGTCATATTTATCAACAAGTATATTAATAAAGTGAGTTGATAAGAGAATTTTTTGACCAATTTCAAATTCTTCAAATTTGTGATGTTGATTTGCATATTTTTGTTGTCTGTTCTGAGCTTCTATCAATATATCTTTTGCTATTTTTATTATAGTATTCCAGTGTTCCAGAAATTCTTAAGAGGCTGTTACTTTATTATCAGCATTAATAGTGATAGGTGTGTAAGGTGATTGTTCACAATCTAATTCAAATGGAATATATTGAGTGGATGCTTGTTTACTATCATTGTAAGCAAATTCTGTAGCAGCTATACATTTATTCCAGTTATTTTGTTTATATATGATAAAAATTCTAAGTATTTCTTCCAAAGTTCTATTTAATTCTTTCAGTTTGACTTAGGGTTCCAATAAAAAGTCTGGTTCAGTTCAAGCTTAAACAGACTCAAATCTGATAAAAAATCTGGTTCAAAAATTCGAACCTAATTAAAAGTCTGTTTTGAGTTTGATTCAAATTTCGAACCAGATTTGAACTTGACAAAAAGTTCAGTTCAAGTTCAAGTAAATGTTTGTTAATGTTCTAAGTAAAGTTGTAGACTGTAACATGAGCTACAAATTGATATAAGATAGTTAATATTTAGGATGAATATTT